TCGAGCCTCATGCGCCTCGCGCCTCATAGGATCCTTTTGACAGAAAACCAATGGGATCGGTCCCAAACCCATCCCAAAGCAATGGAGTCGGGTCCAGCATCTCCTTCCCGGGTCAAATCTTGCAAAGCTCTGAACCGGTAGGCCGGAAACCCGTTGGGGGGGAAACCCAGGCCGCCAGCGTCTTGGGAAAGTGAGAGCGTTGCCCTCTTTTTATTAACCGCCAAGTGGGTTCACCGCTCATCAGCTTAGCAAACATATTCATTGCTCATAGAAAGCGGAACTTTTTGGGGTTGACCAAGGGCGAAGAGGAAGGGTTGGCGAGCGTACTTGTGGAGGAGAGTGAGACGGGAGAGGCCCCAACATTATGCAGATGTGAGTGAGGTCGACCGGCAGAGAACCTTGCTCCTGCACGATGCTTTGGTCAGGGATAGTGAGGAGAGCAAGGAGGCGAGTTTCTTCGTCGCGTCTTGGGGGAGAGAATGGCCCGATACAGAACAAGAGATCACATGTGCATGTGGAGGGCATGAACAGTGGAACACGTCTTTTGCAGCTGCACTCTCTATTCTACGCCGACATGCCATTTCGACCTTTTTGCTGGTGTGTTTCAGATATGCCGCCATTGTGCCAAGAGATTGCTGACTCACCGAAAGCGCATTGAGGAGAATGAGCACCTGGTAGAAAATGACAGAGGCGTCCGATGTAGCCGATGTGGCAAATTGACCTCCTATTCGCAACATGTTCGTCTTAAGATTACAAAGTACCCATGCATGCTGGCGGTGCTGCTTCCCAAGATGCGGGATTCAACCATCATCAAAATCACCTGGATCGATTGGAGCGACATATTAACCTCAAGTACAACATGGGGAAGCACAGGACACTTTCGAATAGAAAAACTGGCACGGAACTCCAAATGAAGGCATTATTGAATGCGTGAGATGTAAGCGAAAACCCCCGGCGATGCAGATGCGCTGATGGAAACGTGGGATGGACAAAACTGATTGACAAACCAGCCAAGTGGTGCGAAGCCACAGTATCATGGCGCCAAAGTACATTCTCATAAGCACCTGGGAATCTCAAGAACACACCTTTGCAGGTGAAACTGTTTTGTCTGTTGGCTTTCAGACAAGTATCTCAACTTTAAAAAGCACGCCAACGTGAAATGGGGAAACCTGAAATGAAGAAGTGGTCTCGGCCCGACTGAAGTGGTTGCAACCCAAAATCCGTCACAGGGGGCCCACAATTTCAAGGCAAACCCAGCTTCGTCGCGAGGCGGATGCTAGGCGCTTCTGCCAGGCGACACAGCAAAACGCAGGCGAAGACTTTCTCATCGTCGGACACCGGGCCCATGGCTTCGAGCTGCTTCTTTGCCGCCTCACAGCTGACACGCAGTCCAAAACATGTTCAGGCGCCAAGCCGTATGAGCGAGCCAAATGAATCAATCCCTTGTGAGGTTGGGTATCTTGCGCGATTAAATTATCCTTAAACGGTTCGCCTTGTCCCGTTTAGGGAAATCCAAACCACTGTTTGAGGGTGTGAATGCAGCAGGTTGATAAATCCGGGGTCGATCCCTTGAGTAGCGCTCAGAACCGATTCCAAAAGGGCCATTTTGGTAGGTGATTATCCTGCCTGCTTTTATGGTGGCTATTGTATAACCTGTGTAACCAGTTTGGTAGAACCAAAAGTCAATGGGTGTTTGGCGCTGCTCACTTGGTGATATGGTTTATTTAGCCTCCACATGGACAAGGGGTTCAACTCCCCAAAGCACCATGAACCCCGGTGATTAATGCTGGGTCCACAAGGTTCCCTTCATTTCCAACCTCACTTCAATTGAGCCCAAAAGGTGCTGTTTCAAACCAACCAAGAATACAGGGGCTCCACAAAGTCGAACAAAAACCCGGGGATCGCCCGCCTTGGGCGCGTCCGGAGTTACTCTGGACTCCGGCGGCATGAGCTTCAGCGCAATCATCGGCGTCATCAAGAAGGACACCAAGGCCTCGGTGGTTCCCTCCAAGCACCCCCCCTGTCCCGATCTGGAGCTCTGGAGCCCCATTCCCTTCTTTCTCTTTTAACATCACGACAGGTTGTTAAGAGAACTTGGGGGGCTGATTTCAGGCGGGGAAGGACTTGTGCCACATGTGAAGCCGGTGTGTATTCATGAAATATTGATTGGATTCCGGATGAACACGAACGTCTTTGTCTCGATCTATGGATTCCAACTCTTGAAATTCGGAAAGTGCCCATTTTGGTGAGTCCCCAAACCCAGGGCCCCACATGTTCCATCCAAGGCAGCCCTAACAACCCCTCCCCCCAGTCCTGCTCTGGAACCTCCTTCCCTTCTTTCTCTTTAAACATCACGCCAGGAAACTACAAGTCAGCCCAAAAAGGCCATGTTCACGTTCCCCAAGGTGATTGACTTTCCGAGGGGTGAGTTGCCTGCTTTGTATCCTCTAAACTCTCACCAAACAAAATCCAAAAGGTGACCAGGTCCAAGCAGGACTCCGATCGGTAGCTCCGAAAGGAACCAAATTTCGAGGAAAAAAATGAGAAAAAACATCAGCATACTAGTACCCCCAGCTGCGAAACGGCTCCCTTCCAACCAAGGTGATGGTAGCCGCTGAAAAGAAGAAACCACCTCGCGCTGAAGCTCTGAGTTTTCGGCTGGCAGAAAGGCCGCCGTGAACCACGTCTGGAAGGGCTGCTCCACGTGGATGCCCACCTGTAAGGTGGGGAGAGGTGGGGAAAGGTGGGGTCACGACCCCCGACAAGGGGCGAGCGGAAGCTTTGTTCGTCCAAAAAACACGAATAGAAGTACAGGTTCGTCAAGATTTGGGGCCCTTTTCGGTAAGGCGGCAAGAGGCCATACTTTTCAGAACGTTAACCAGTTCTTGAGTTCGTTGAGATCTATCTGGGTTGATTCCAATTTTTGTTGGGAAGCATCCCCTGGATCGTTGAGGTGGCCAATGTTCGAAGGGATCCGGATCAACCCCAACAAGTTATCCACGAGCATCCGAAAGCTTGGGGGCCCAGTTCGCTACGGGTTGACCCTTCTTTCCAAACCCTCAGTGGCTATTGGGAAAAAGAAGTGGCACCCTTCTTGGCAGCCTACGGAAACCCCCTCCAAAAAAATCCAACCAGGGCACCCCTGGATGTCTATCTATTATCTCTATATATATCCGCCGACCCCTTCTCCTCAAAGGGGAGGCGCACGGAAGGGTGGTTGCAGTACAAGCGCATGGATTAATCTTTGAGGCAAGCATATGACTACTGGCATCATACGGATGCCCATCATCATCATCATCATCATCGATATGATCCTTCATCATTCTCATCGTCAACATCATCATCATCATTTCTATATCCTTCAACATCATCTCTTATTAGCCGGCACTGGTGATGCCGAGGATGTCATCATCATCTCTTATTACGCAGCACTGGTGATGCAAAGGGTGTTATGTATTATGATGTCATCGCTCTTCTCATCATCATCATGATGATCATCATCATCTCATTCTTATTCTTATATATTCTTATTCTTATATGCATTTCAAAAGTAACGTTACCATTGGCAATGCAGAGGATGCTACGATGATAGTTATCATCACAGTCCTCATCCTTATCATCACTATCATCATGGTCATCATCATCTCTTGTTAGCCGGCACTGATGATGCCGAGGATGCTACGATGATAGTTATCATCACAATCCTCATCCTTGTCATCAGTATCATCAATCATCATCATGATCATCCTTATTATGATGTCATCGCTCTTCTCATCATCATCATGATGATCATCATCATCTCATTCTTGTTCTTATTCTTATATGCATTTACCCCAGTGGCAATGCAGAGGATGCTACGACGATACTTATCATCACAGTCCTCATCCTCATCATCACTATCATCATGGTTATCATCATCTCTTATTAGCCGGCACTGGTGATGCCGAGGATGTCATCATCATCTCTTATTAGGCAGCACTGGTGATGCAAAGGGTGTTATGATGATAGTTATCATCATAATCATCATCATGATTATGATGTCATCTCATTCTTTTCTTATTCTTATATGCATTTCAAAAGTAACGTTAGGCCCCATTGGCAATGCAGAGGATGCTACGATGATAGTTATCATCACAGTCCTCATCCTTATCATCACTATCATCATGGTCATCATCATCTCTTGTTAGCCGGCACTGATGATGCCGAGGATGCTACGATGATATATATTATCACAGCCCTCATCTTTGTATATAGAAAGAGATGATGATAATGATGACAATCATGATGACAATGATGAAGGCGATGACTACGATGACAATCATCATGAAGATGATAAGGAAGGATGATGACTCTTATGATAACTATCATCGTAACATCCTCTGCATTACCAAAGCTGTGGATGACTGTCATGATAACTATCATCGTAGCATCCTCTGCATTACCAAGGATGCCTAACGCCACAATTGAAATGTATATAGAAGTATAGAAGAAAGATAGAAGAAGAGATGATGTGACAATTGATGATGATAATGATGATGACGATGATGAAGGCGATGACTATGATGACAATCATGATGAAGATGATAAGGGTGATGACTCTTATGATAATTATCATCGTAGCATCCTCTGCATTACCAAAGCTGCGGATGACTGTCATGATAACTATCATCGTAGCATTCTCTGCATTACCGGTGCCTAACGCCACATTTGATATGTATATAGAAGAAAGATAGAAGAATAGCAGGAAGAGATGATGATGATGATGATGACAAGCATGACGATGATGACGGCGATGACTATGATGACAATCATCATGAAGATGATAAGGATGATGACTCTTATGACAACTATCATCGTAGCACCCTGCATTACCAAAGCTGCGGATGACTGTCTTATTAGGCAGCACTGGTGATGCAAAGGGTGTTGTGATGATAGTTATCATCATAATAATCATCATGATCATCCTTATTATGATGTTATCGCTCTTCTCATCATCATCATGATAATCATCATCATCTCATTCTTGTTCTTATTCTTATATGCATTTCAAAAGTAACGTTAGACCCCATTAGCAATGCAGAGGATGCTACGACGATACTTATCATCACAGTCCTCATCATCACTATCATCATGGTTATCATCATCTCTTATTAGCCGGCACTGGTGATGCCGAGGATGTCATCATCATCACTTAGTAGGCAGCACTGGTGATGCAAAGGGTGTTATGATGATAGTTATCATCATAATCATCATGATGATCATCATCATCTCATTCTTATTCTTATTCTTCTATGCATTTCAAAATTAACGTTAGGCCCCATTGGCAATGCAGAGGATGCTACGATGATAGTTATCATCACAGTCCTCATCCTTATCATCACTATCATCATGGTCATCATCATCTCTTGTTAGCCGGCACTGATGATGCCGAGGATGCTACGATGATATATATCATCACAGCCCTCATCTTTGTATATAGAAAGAGATGATGATAATGATGACAATCATGATGACAATGATGAAGGCGATGACTATGATGACAATCATCATGAAGATGATAAGGATGATGACTCTTATGAAAATTATCATCGTAACATCCTCTGCATTACCAAAGCTATGGATGACTGTCATGATAATTATCATCGTAGCATCCTCTGCATTCATTACCAAGGATGCCTAACGCCACAATTGAAATGCTATGATGACAATCATCATGAAGATGATAAGGATGATGACTCTTATGATAACTATCATCGTAGCATCCTCTGCATTACCAAAGCTGATGACTGTCATGATAACTATCATCGTAGCATTCTCTGCATTACCGGTGCCTAACGCCATATTTGAAATGTATATAGAAGAAAGATAGAAGAAAGAGATGATGATGATGATCATGATGACAATGATGAAGGCGATGACCACGATGACAATCATCATGAAGATGATAAGGATGATGACTCTTGTGATAACTATCATCGTAGCATCTTCTGCATTACCAAAGGTGCCTAACGCCATATTTGAAATATGAAGTTATTATTTTATTATTATTTGTTTACTCAGGCTGGTTAAAAGTGTGTGTTTGTCATCAGAGTTTCATATGATTTCATTGAGGGATTTGCTCAAGCTAGAGCCAAAAAATGTACATGATAACTATCATCGTAGCATCCTCTGCATTACCAAGGGTGCCTAACGCCACGATTAAAATGTATATAGAAGAAAGATAGAAGAAACAGATGATGATGATGATGATGGCACTCAGGATGACGATCATGCAGGCGATGACTATGATGACAATCATCATGAAGATGATAAGGATGATGACTCTTATGATAATTATCATCGTAGCATCCTCTGCATTACCAAAGCTGCGGATGACTGTCATAATAACTATCATCGTAGCATCCTCTGCATTACCAAGGATGCCTAACGCCACATTTGATATGTATATAGAAGAAAGATAGAAGAATAGAAGGAAGAGATGATGATGATGATGATGATGATGACAAGCATGACGATGATGACAGCCATGACTATGATGACAATCATCATGAAGATGATAAGGATGATGACTCTTATGACAACTATCATCGTAGCAGCTGCGGATGACTGTCATAATAACTATCATCGTAGCATCCTCTGCATTACCAAAAATGCATTTCAAATGTATATAGAAGAAAGATAGAAGAAAATCATGATGACGATGATGAAGGCGATGACTAGGATGACAATCATCATGAAGATGATAAGGATGATGACTCTTATGATAACTATCATCGTAGCATCCTCTGCATTACCAAAGCTGCGGGTGACTGTCATGATAACTATCATCGTAGCATCCTCTGCATTGCCAAGGATGCCTAATACCGCATTTGAAAAGGAAGAAGAATATCAGAAGATGATGAGGATGATGACTCTTATGATAACTATCATCGTAGCAGTTTTTGCATTACCAAAGCTGCGGATGACTGTCATGATCACTATCATCGTAGCATCCTCTGCATTACCAAGGGTGCCCTTGGCAAAAAGCATGACTACGCATCACTATCGAAACGGCACCTCGCCTCAGATGCCATTTGTATCATTGAGATTTGGAGTCCTGCCTTGATGATAATCATCACTACGCATCATTCGCAGCATCTCTGGCAATCATAAGGATAATCATCACTACGCATCCCCAGCATCTCCAACAGCGATAATCATAATCATGACTACGCATCACTGTCGAAACGGCACCTCGCCTCAGATGCCATTTGGGTCAAAAAGAAACCAAAGAAACCAAAACCAAGGGCACTGTTTTGGTTGCTTGAAAACCACAACTAAATCCAGGGGTCGGCGGCACTGGGCGGCAGCCCTTAAATCCGGCCACCGGGGGGCTTCAGACCCCGTGGTCCGTGATACGGCCGAAGGCCTAGGCCCGCAGGGCCTACCTTCAGGTATAAGGCCGGCCGCCCTGTGCCGCGGACCACTGCCGACCATGCGCCGACCTTGCGCTATACTTTTGCGCTGGGCCCGCCCTTATAAGGGGCGAAGGATTTCCGGATTTGTTCAGGCGAGTTTTGGCGGCTTTTTGAGCATCTCCTCGAGGAGTCAAAAAACGAGTGTTTTTTGGGGGGTGCCCATAGTGGACAACATCCCCGGCATCACCTGCATCATCCGCATCCTTGGCGGGCATTGATGCGGATGATGCCGGTGATGCGGGGGATGCTGGGGATGTTG